AGACATGAGTGTAGGTATAGATAATTGTTAGAATAATTGAGACACACATGAAAACATGCTCTACTACCACCATCTAGCCAAGTTACAGCATATTCTGAAAATATTTGGTCTACTTGTCCTGTTAGATGCTGAAACTGATGAAGAGGCTTGGGAAGGTCTATTTTCATTTTAATTGCATATCAACTTCGACCACGAAGTGGGCCAAGAGGCCCATATACAGCTGTCAAATCTGATGATTATATGTATAAACTGTTACACCATTATTCTACTAGGTGGTTTAAGTCTCATCTCAGGTATGTAGTTAACATATAAAATATTGGTCTGTAGGCTCCATGTTGACAGTGAGACACAAGAAAATAGAGCAGAAATGTGCATTTTTCTTCAAAATCTCTATATTAGGTCTGCTTACTCTATTTACACTTTTGATTGTCCGATGGAATGATGGATCTGCGCTACTTAAGGTGCTCATTTCTTAGCTGTATTTCTCTCCCTGTATTTACCAGTTTCTACTCTCTTCCGACTCCCGGTGACGTGCCGGGAAACAAAATACAGAGCATCAAAAACAAGAATTGAGCACAGCTAATTTCTCGGCCTATTTGAAATACACATATACGGAATTTCGACGGACTGCGCGTTAAGCTCAGACATATGCGTGCAGTTCCAATGACATGAAGGAAATGACCACCTTTGAGATATGGTCGCTAGAAAGTCCGAGAACGTATTGCCGAAGGCATAGCGGGCAAAGAAAGTGTCCGTAGGTAGCTCCAATGAGAAAAGAAGAATTAAGAGATGTTCTCGTCGGCCATCTCGTGTTTCTGAACTCCAGCTATAGCATGGGGAAATCATCACCAATAAGGAATCTCGAAAGGAGATACCCGACCGTTGGATATCTGGTCACCGAGCAGGCTCAAGCATGTATTGTTGGGAATTGAACAGTCGAAGAAAATGTCCCGACAAACTCCGGTTAGAAAACAAGGAATAAGAAACGCTCTCGTCGGCCATCTCGTGTTTCTTGACTTCAACTGCAGTGTGGGGAAACCATCACGAGCGAAGATGTTTTACGAACTTACTATCGTCGTGAACTCCGAACACAGCGCAGTCCTTCCGGGTGCCTCGGTGTCGCGGAAACATCAAGGATCAGAGCCAAAGAATAGGGTCCCAAGTGTGGATATTTGCGTTCACTAGTTACTGCAGAAGGTTTGATGAGATGGTCTGGAGTCTCGATGAAGGAAATTGGCAATTGCATTGTGAACCGTTCAATGTCTGTAAGGAACTACAACTCAAACATGGATGCCTTTGAAGTTTGAGTCAAAGGGGGCCTTGGGCCGTGTGTCGTGTAGTTCAGGCCAGCTATGTTTAGCTAATTTTCGTGCACTAGTCATGAAATGGTTATATACAGCGTGTCTTTTCGCTCACTGCCATGGCTCAATTCTGTGTCACAAATATGGTGATGGCAAAGTTCTGCATTGAGGCACCGTGGAACAGCATGGTCTTTCCGAAAACGGGAGAGTCAGACTTGCTTACTGCTGTCTAGCAAGAGGGACCTAGAGACTGTATGATGATGATAAGGTATATTGACATCGGCTTGACCGTCACAAGCGCAGGTCGATTTCTAGAAATGGTCCAAACGGAGGATCGTCGTACGGTACCCTCGTTCGCAAGAGATTCACTTCTATGCCTTCTTGCAATATTCGAGGAGAGGTTCGAGGCTCACGAGGGGGCGGTAAATACTGACGGCAAGCGAAGTATGCGAGGAGCTTCAAGGCAGTATTATAGTGGCAGTGGTACTGGTAGGCAACAGATGGATTACAGTAAAAGAGGAATTTCCATTTATGGACGGATGAGAACGGATCCGCATGCGCGAGGCAAAGGCATGCCCATTGCTGGCACAACGAGGGCCACAGCACAGACGATGGCCTCCCGCTTCCTTTCCACCGACCATCATCAAATGGTCCTGGCATTTTGCTTTAGTAATTCTGTATGAATAGTTAGGTGCCTGTGACAATGGATAGGAGCTCAGACACGACTACTTTCTCTCCGACTCCTTTCAGTCCTTTCTCCTCAAGCAACTCCTTCGGCAGCGAAGGAGGGACATCTGACGGTGTGTTACACTCATTTCGATCATATATTGTCGGCTTATAGGTGTGTTAGAACCTGCAGATCTTGGTCAGCTCTCTGCTGTATTTGAAGCTTTACGTGCAGAATTTCAGCCGCGCATCCAAACAAATGTCATTCCACGTGCTGAGACACCTACTTCATCCCTCGTCGTCTCAGCATCGGATGGAGATGGAGAAGAAGGCGCACGAATAGTATGGTCAACAAAGTCAGACTATGCATCATACTCTGATTCTGATGGTAACGGCGACTACATCGGCGGCCTGGGGGAGAATGACGACGGTATTGATCAACCTTCGCTCGGATATCTTGATGATGTGCTCGGGTTTCTTGCTGCCGAACGCGCCAAATTTACTGCTCAGCGTGAAGCTGGACTGAGAGGTGGAACATCTTCGCAGTCTCAAGCATCGACAAGCGAAAACGCATGGCGACATGTGATTGAGCCTCGCCGAAAACGTCGGCGAAAACGCGGAAAACATAACGGGACGAGCGCCAGTGCTAGCGTGAGCAGTACCCATGTCGACGCGGATGCAGATGGGGACGGGGAAGCCGATGCAGAGGGAGTCGCGACACCGGTCGGCGATGCACTCGATGGCTCCTCATCTGGAGAATATTGGTCGCATGGAAAGTCTATGCCTGCGACTCCACCGCACGGAACAAGCCGGCGTCTACGCAGTATTTCTAGCAAAGGCAAAGGAAAGGATCCAGTTACAGTGACAATTCCAGGAACAACTACAACGATTCCTCTGCACCCGAAACTTGCCCACAGTCGCTCAACTCCTAGTCTCCGAGTAACAATTCCCTCTCCGCCAGATGCACGCGTCCTTCGCCTACGAACACTAGCCACGAAACTGCGTATGCTCTTCGTGGAGGATGCCCGACACCTATCTTCTGTTCTTCTGAATGATGTTCCCGAAGAAGACGGCTTCATCGATCCACGTGGACGACCCCCAGAAGGCAATGACCCTCTGGTCCATGTCTTTATCGATCAGTAAGAACTGTCTTCCTCATTGATATGTACATCTCAACTAACAACATGAATCGGCTCTAGCTCAAATATCCTCATCGGGTTTCTAAACCATCTCCGAAGATATCCTATTCATCCGTCTCGTCGTGCAAAGACGCACCTATCTCATGCAGCTCTAACACTTATCTTAGAGCGAGGAAGACCCGTAACGCGGCGCGTACTTGCTACATCCTCTCCATTATACCAACCAATGGATGGTGCAGAGCGTCTCGGCTATGAGGTACGCGTATACGCACGCGTACCGGACCTTGGAGATGGTCTCGACCGTGCTACTCGAGAAGTCACAAGAGGTAAACGTAGTGCCAGTGGCATTGGAACAAGCACGGGTACGGGTACGGGTACGGGTACCGGAAGCGCAGATTCAGACCCAGGACCGAACAATATTCCTACTGTTGCGTCGTCAAAATCCACTAGCGCACACTCTCGCAGCTCCTCCCTGACGATGCCTAGTCGTTCTGGGGTGTATGCTCGTGCGCCGACGAACACCACGCCGGGCGGGCGCGTGAAGTATCGCGAACAAGGTGTCGATGAGCTTCTACAACTAAAACTACATCAAGCAATAGCTGATGCAGACTCGCCGCCCCCACCTGGCTCGACGATCGTGCTTGCTACTGGGGACGGGAATGCAGGGCAGTTCAACGCGGATGGGTTCCTTGGTGCTGTACGTACAGCGTTGAAGAAGGGATGGCGTGTCGAGTTGTATGCGTGGGAGTATGGCCTGAGTAAAGCTTGGGTGAAGGAGTTTGGCGCAGGGTGTACTGGGGTGGGCACTACTGATAATGCTGAGGATGCAAGGAGTCCCGTGGCTAGCTCGAGGATGGATTCGGATGCAAGTGCGCAAGGAGCTTATAATTATGCTGACCGTTTCCGGATCGTTGGACTGGAAAAGTTCGCTCAGGACTTACTGGAGATTCCCTAATTAACGAATTGCTCAGGCTTTTCGTCGCTCTCGTTTTCTTTCGACTACATGCATTTATCATCGTGCTTCCTGCAAGCACAATTCAATGAATTCGAAATCACGGAAGGGTGGAGAGGTGGATTAATTTGCATATATATGTAATCTGCATTGGAATATAGACGTTTCTCTTCTGTAGAATTTACATGTATATGTAGCAAATGTATACATTCATGCAAGAATTTAGGCACTTGATCACTTATATCAGAATCTCGGAATGGTTAGGTAATGTTCACAGAATTTGCATTGGAAGACATGCATTGGAAGACATGCATGTGCTATATCACACCGACATACGTTTCGCTTGGTATAATACAGGGTAATAAAGGGAGATCTCATGAAGAGATGATACGTGGAAGGAAATTTCATCCAGAGCCATGAGTGATATTCAGTATGAGAGAGAAAGTATGCCGATGCGAGTGAATCATGTAAAATGCTCGAGTTAAAAGGAGACAATGGTATTCGTGTGAGAGGGCAAACTCTGAAGGATCAGGTTCTAACCCTTCAATCACGGAAACAGAAAGATACGAAAAGAAATATGAATGGTAGCTGTCTCGTTACGCTCTTTGCCTGCTTTACCCTTCCACCTCCCGCTCTGCATAGTGCTGGTTCGTCAACACCTTCCGAGAACGAGACAAATAAACACACGATCTAGAACATCAACCCAGTCTGAAAAAATGCGATTCATCGAGCACGTGCCAACGCATCCCTCATCGCTGCTGTCCCGCGTCGGATCCACTCCTCAGGGGTCAACCCAACTCCCGATCGTCCACGCACGCTCATCCCAGAGTCCATTCTAGTCGGCATCCCCGCTTCCCCTCCGACATTCAAATTGGAATCTCCCCTTGGCGGCATTCCTACCACCCTTTCTGCCGAACCGGACATCCCAGCCAACCCACTCTTCTCACTAGCGAAATGGGGGTCGAACACTGTAAATAGTCTGTCGTTCCGTGGCGAGAAGGCCCAGAGCTCTGGTGCTGGGGGTGGGAAAGCCGTTAGTGCACGCAGTTCGTTCCGGATTATGTTGTGCGTGAAGTGATCCATGTTCTACATGAATATATCCGAGAAAGGGTGTAGAGTTACGAATCATGAAGTTAGAGCGAGTAGAAGGTCTGGTGATGGCAGGGGGACGTACGAGGTCATTCTTGTCATATCCGAAAGGATCTAATCAAATAGAGAAAACAGACGACATTTGAGTCAAAGAATCAGCATTACAAAGAAATCAAGAAAAAAATGTGACAGCGTACTCTCAATCTCTTCACCAGCAACAAGGAATCCGAAGAAGAAGAAACTCACAATCCCAGTTGCAGGGATCGTCAGCCATTTCATCGTCGAGTAAATTTGGAATGGAAGTGCGAGATTGTAGATGATCACGACCAGCCATAGGTGAATCGAGTAACTGCATGAAGTAAAAAGAATTGTTTAAATCTTGCTTAGGGTATATGAATGATGGGCGTTTATAGATGATGGACGTACGAAAATGGGATGGGTGTAGTAAGGATACGTTCGAGGCCAGTGAGGGCGTCGGTAAGTTGGTTAACAGAGCCGATTAAGAGGTCTATCAACAAAGAAAATGGCGGATCAATTAGAGAAAGGCCAAGGACAGGAAAATGAAAAACGTACTATTCGTCGGAACATCGACCACCTTCCTCTGTGCAATCGTAGCAACGTATGACGTCTAAGAATATATATCAATGAACTATCAGTAAAGAAGCACAACCCAGCACGATATATTTATATATTTAAAGAAATTAAAATAGTGAACTAGAGCACCAACCAGATACATTGAAATCTCAAGCGGGACATTCCTTGTCGTCACAACCGTCTTTGCTCTCAGCTTCGCAGCCTTCTTCCCTTCAACCTGCTTCCCTTTCGTAGTCAACATCTTCACGAAAAGTGAAAACGGGAAAATGTCGAATACGGAGTTCTTGGGCGGCAAAGACGCAGGGAGAAGAGTTACGTTTCGGTCGTCAGAAGATGCGATAAACGTCGGAGTGCGATTTAGGGCGGATGGGAATGGAGATGATTTGGGTTTTTGGTGCTTTGATTGACGCGAGGAAAGGAAGGAAGAGCGGGCTCGACGGGACGTCTTCCTGTTCGTCGTCGTTGCGGGAGCAGGAAGCGGTACACCAAGTGAGATGTGTGGTTGCGGTGCACCGTCTGACGGTGCTGCAGGGTTATATGTTCCTCCGGGTGTACCAGGCTCGATGCTCACGTTCACAGGAGCATCAAACCCACCATCGCCATTCAGCCCTCCGTCAGTATCTGCAAACGTCGCGTCACTCGTGCCCCTTTCGATACCATGCTTCTCGTGCTGTTGCTCTTGTTGTTCCTGCTGAGCATCACGGTACGACTGTGTACGCATGAGGTTTGCTGCTGCTTCGTATTCTGTTGGTATGACGCCTGTCGGGAAGGAATATGATGGGAGGAACTTGACGAGGTGGTAGAGGTCGACGTAGGCAATGCCTTCTTCGCCGCGTAGGTAATGCTTCACAGCGACACTGTAGGGGTGATAAACGATAAATACACAGAAATTGGTGGCAAATATAAATTTATAAAAGGAAAGCTTAGGGAGTACTTTTATATTGAAGGGAGAAATATACGCACGCAAATGCTTCGATGAGATTTATAACTGTCTTCTTCTCGATGAGGCACCGTGCCCTTCGCTCCTCTTCAGAACGCCCCTCTTGTTCGTCTTGAGGAGTCGGAGGTGGCAATTCTATTAATGGAATGGTATGTATTTTAAATCACATGCGATCTGCCGCGCGTTAGCAAAATAGATCACTCACCTGGAACATGGAACCACACTGCCCTCGCGAGCGTCCGCGCTCCGAGCATGATCTGCGACCAATATCGTCTTCCTTCATTGTACCTCTCGAAGCTCGAAGTTGTGCGATACGAGACGACAAAACCCAATACGGTACCCACACTATGTACCAGGGCTCCAGTGAATAACCCGCGTGAAGGAAAGAACGGTAAACGGAGAGAAGACTTACACAGTTAAAAGCGTCGGAGCGAATGTCAAGCTGGTGACATGTACGTTAATGAGCGTTATCACCGTCGCCCAGGCAAAATAAAAGAGTAGAATATGCCAACATCGAAAGAGAGCTGTTGCGAGGAGGGATTTAAAAAAGGCCTGGACAAGACGTGTTGGTGTCGTTGCGGCTTCGATGTCGCCACCACTGAAATGATTTGAGGGCCTTTGCTGGTACATCAAGAAGGAATGTCTCCTGTGGAGAGATTTTGTGGACTTTGACCTGTTGAGCCACATCGCGCGTTAGTGTCTTGGAAAAGAAATTGTAGTTGAATCGGAAAGGATAGAATAGACAGCAGTGCAGGGGGAGTAGAACAGAGAGAGGGGCTCGAAAAGAAGGTCGAGGAGGAGGAAGAAAGAAAGAAGCAAGAAGAACGGACCTCGTTGAAAGAGAGAGAGCAGCTGGACGGCGGTGGAGTGCTGCGAAGGCGTGCTGAATTGGCTGTGTGGACACCAGACGACCAATGGAGGAAGCTGGAGCTGCACTAGCCCTGAGCCAAGAAAACACGAGACCGGGTCCCCCTGGTTGCTTGGCGCCTTTGTCTCCATGCCTGCTCCTAAGTCATAAAGAAACATGTGAAGGGTAGTACATCAAGCTAGATACTGAATCTGATCTGCATGTCGACGATATCGTCCACTCAACTACTTCAACAGCAACCTGGCTGTCTGAGTCTCGACATGATCGCCACCGGCGTGCCTGTTGCGGAACGGAATTGCCAAGCGTCGCGTCTTCATATCACAAGTATCAATCAGCATCCGGTCCTCTTTCCAAAAGTAGCTCCGTTTACATCGAAGAGGAGCTGCCTTGACTTGACTTGAGAAGCATTCCATTCTATTTAGATACATCACAAAACTAGATGTGGTCTGACAATACATTGTATGTCATTCTAATAACTATAATATATAAAAGATATAGAAGTCTGTCAATGATCATTACATTAGCATCTGCTGCTAAGACGTATCTTTAGAAGGTCTGTAAGACTTCTAAAATTTACAATACTTTTATAAATTGTCAGAGTATACAAGACTTGAGTGAGAATACAAGCTCTTACCAGAGTTGCTCAAACAATAAATGCTTCATACAATAATCATTCTTTTTTATCATTATTGAATTAGAAAACAAATATATTATACTTGAGTAAATAATTACAGGCAAAAGTATTTACTAGAACTACTATTAAATCCTGTACTACTCTTATTTCTTCCACTCATACCCACATTGCCTCCCATAGTTCCTCCAGAAGATCCACTGGGCTGTCTGGCTGAAGAAGCGCCTCCAGAACCTGAGGGCCTCGGCCCTTCATCATCGTCGTTGTCGTCATCAT